ACCCTTTCTTTCAATTCAGCCACAAAAATAGTAGTTGCAATATGCATGCACGTACACTGAGAAAAAAGTACTTAAAAATTGATTTATGGGATATAAGGTTTTATTTCGCACTAATAAACTTTTATTTAATAAATAAATTTTGCAGAAATAAATCTTATATCCTACGAATAAATTTTCAAGTGCTTTTTTCTTAGTGTGGATTCATGTAAATAATTACTCCAATACTTTTTAGTCCAGTTTCCCTTTGATTAAATAATTTTTGCCCGATCCAAGTAAAATATGTTTTCCAATAAATCATCCAAATAAAAATTTATTAACGAATATTGAAGTAATTATTTATCTAGCATTTTTTTTCTATGTAAGAGTATTATCACTGATAGTATAGCACTTACTAGGAAAACGGTTTTTCTATGTGATAAGAATTTTGTTTAACAGCAGTCTACTCGAATTTTTGTGCGTTTTAATACTTTAATAAGAACAATACGTTAAATAATATTATACATATCAAAGTATTAAATATGTTAACAAGATGAACATGTTAGCTTAACATATTCGTATATGTTTCAAAATATTTTCAATGTTAAAATCATGCGAAAATTTTGGCCGTTTGTAACACAAAATATTTTACCGCGTAACTGTAATATTTTTTACTACGGTTTATAGTTGCAAGTATTACACTTACAAATACTAAATATTATTTTCTTGGCGTTTTACGCGATTATGTGAAGAAAAATTCGAGACGGTCTCTGGGGAGAATCCTCCGAAACAAATTCGCCGGTATCGAATGTGTCAATTATCATTCCGCGTGGTGCACGAAGAACGCGGGATTCGTCGGCCGATTAAGACGATTACCGGGTCCCTCGACGTGTCGGTCTCATCGACTGATCAAGTCTCGTTGGTTTGAGCTTCGGGCTTTGCGGGCAAATTTGAGCGAGCGATTTGCAGGAGACACACGCACGCACGAGAGTCGTGGCGAATTTGATCGAAGCCAGCCAGCATTCATCGCTATCGGGCACACAGCATTGGCGCACCGGTAGTAATCATCATTTGCACGGGAACACGTGCGTCCGTGTGTGCACTTATCGCGTGTGACAACGCGCAGTTTGCGGACACATCGATCGTCCGGCTACGCTCATGTGTACATGTGTGTGTACCGTGTGTGATCATGTCCGGTGCCCTTGCACGTGCGGATGAACGCTTCGGCCACGTGTATATCCCGTCGGGAAAATTTACAAAGTAAATTCTCGTCACGTTTAATTCTTATTTCTCTCTCTCTTTCTCTCTCTCAAGAGTGTTTGAGACGATGAGTGGTTCAGACGGTCTTCGTGAGAAAATAATTATCGCGGCTTCCTTTTATTCGTTTTAGATGGGGGAGATGTACGCGTGCATAAAAAATTAATAATTATTATCGATAGAAGAATATAGGAAAACATCGCGCGCGACGGAGCTATCGCGTTCAGGTATTGGCGGTCTCTGCGTTATCGTTGCGGGCGTGTATCAATGACAGGCTTTTGGCAGAACCGCGATTCCCTCGGAGCAGTACCAGATGCCAGCAGAGTCTATGCGTGATCCGTGCTGCGCTCTGCAGGAACTCGAACCAACGGCACTCGCGCCGAAGGATCTCTTCATCTCGGGAGTCGCACTTTTCTCTCTCTCTCTCTCTCTCTTTCTCTCCGCGTTTTTTAGTACGTAAAACCGCGAAAACTAGTAGAAGATAAATATGTACGACAGTATGTATGGAACGCACGTGTGCATACACATAGAGAGACCAAGGTTCGTCACATTTTCCTTTATTCTTGGAACGAGCATTGTATCGGCTGTGTCCTCGATAAGAATACCGAGGTGGCAGCAGTTTTGCGGTTGTGGAGAATCGAAGATGGAGGAGACTCGCGAAATAAATTCGCGCGCGTGAAACTCAATAAATCAAGTTTTGTAATCGGTGTGAAATATTATCTCGGAGTTTCGCTTTGAAAGAATTTTCATCGAAGACGCAACCTCAGTAGCTTTGCAATTGAATTTCCGATTGAAATTCTATTATCACTCCGTAATTCAATGTGCGTATCGGAGGAGGGGGTAAATAATTCGAGGCAGGGGTTTTTACAGTTCGAGTTTCTACGGAGAAAAATCATTGTCTTCGACTTCGTCGAAAAATCCGCGGGCAAAGAGAACATGGTGGACGGATAGCTCGGAGACACTCTGTATAAATACCGCGGCAAATATCGGCAAAGTAAACACGTGCTCGACACATATCCAGCCCTCTTGATCGCTAATGACACACAACGATAAATCATGCCGTTTTAATCTCGCTGAAAATACTTCAAAAACCGGTCGATCTTCCCGACTAGGGACGACCGGCTAGCTGCGCGATCGCATATATATACAATATAAATAAATTCAATAATGCGCACCATCTACCAGTCCTCATAGCTGCAAAACCGTCGAGCGATAAGGCGATAAGTCGATTTGAGTGATAAAGTGACAAGGGGCAGCATACCCCTTGTTATCGTATATTTTACTTCCTCCGTGTAAGAGACCGATTATTTCTATTTGATTGATCATCCGTGCGCAATCGCAAAAGGACGCGTGCGAGATCCTCCCGAATAGAAACGTAATTGGCTAATCTGAGTCAAAAGCTATTAGCTAGATAGTACAAGCTAGATTCAATTTCCGTTACTGACTGGATTATTCCCTGAAATGTCGAATCGGCTTCATGATATAGCCTTGACGAGCTATTATATATCAAATAGATGATACTATTCTAAAGTATACAATATAACTGCTGTATTCCTCCAGTATCTTAAGATTATCGTATTGTAGAGTGCTGGATTTTCAGCGGTGATATTAAGAGGCTCCTACACAAGTTTGTTATTTACTGAAAAAAAATATTTTCCCACAACATTATTTAACTATCTAAATAATTAATGTTAATTTTGAGTGAAATTAAGATAGATATACAATATTATACATAATATTACAAACACGGAGACATGATTTATTTTCTTGTTTTTCTTATCAATGTTTTATTCATACGTCAATTGAGCTAATAGATATGCACACATGATAGAACGGTATATAAATATTTAAATACGTGTATATATATGTATGCATATATCACCGGTTTTTCGTAAATTGTTGCCAAAAATTATTGTAAATTGTATGTTTTCTATAGCCATATTTTCAAAACAACATGGTCAATAATTCAGAAATTTTTGTGCAATGTCTACGTGGTAAAAAATTTTGTGTTAAAAATGATTCACTGACTTTTTTGTGTTTTAACAATGTGAATATGTGAAAAAATAATATGTTAACAAGGTGAATATGATAATTCAACATATATTTGTGTACTTTTTAACGTATTCCCCATCTTAAAGTAACGCAAAAATTTCAGTGGACCTTTTGGAGCGTGTGAAACGTGTCAAATTTAACAGGAAATATCTCACTGTGCGGGCACCCGCGAGGTTCAACCCGTAATAGGGCTCGCGCACGAAAGGTGGACGCGTGCGCGATTTAATCAGCCGCGCGTTAATTAGCAATAACGTCGGTGAGGAGATAAAACGCGCGTACGCGGCGCGTCGAGTGCGAAAATGCGATTCAAACATCCGGAAGGGAAACTATATTTACATGGGTATAAGAAAAGAATTCGGCGCGCTGTCACGCACAAGGCGCAAAGGTCCGGCACACATGCTCTCCCGGTGTGCCATTTTGTGCCGTTTTATTTCTGTTCGGGATAGAGCGTGGCATAGAAAAAGAGTGACGACGAAAGGCGTCGTTCGTTGAAGAGAGAGAGAGAGAGAGAGAGAGAAGGAGGGAGCATGAAAAGCGGCTTCTCTTCACGCCGCAAATAGACAATTCGATCTATAAAACATTTTCTTCCTAAAATAGTAGAACCGGCTTTACACTGCCGCGTGCGCGATCATCCATAAATACGCCCGCGCGCGTCCAAGTCGCGCCGCGAAGTGCGGCGTCGCATTTCGCCAATAATCTGTTGCGCCCGGTGACTTAGGAGCGTGCTGCGACCGAAATTCGGCGGAAAATCGGGCTACGGTGTGTGCAATGCGGTTACTCGGGGCGCCGAAATCGCGCGAAACGGCCGAATTTATGGCGGCCGTTAATTCGCCATAAGGCGCGATTTATCATGTGCGCTCAGTGGGACTTTCTCCAACTGTATCCCCGGCCGACGAGCGTCGACGTGATTATTGATTTACGCGCGCCGATGAATCCGCGACACTTCAGACGTCAGAGGCGCACGTACGATTCGATCGTAATTTATACGTCCGACGTCCGACGAGAGAGAGAGAGACTCGTCGTTGTACTTTGATTATACGCTCAATTATGAGACGCGCTATATATGCAAGAACGAAGTTCAAGGGAAACCAGTAAAGCGACGTGGTGATCTGCCAAAGAAACTGACAGGGGACTGTTCAAGTGTCGCGCAATTTCTCTCGCCGACACGAAAATGTCTCTATCTCTCTCTCTCTTTCTCTCTCGGGAGCTTGGCGATATCGCGCGGTGGGAGTTGGTAATTTTGGAAGATAGCATTTATCGCGCAAGGCGCGAGCGCGATGTGTTTTCGCAGTTAAAGCGGTACGCGCTGACAGTTTATCGCATCGATCGTGAATTCGATAGATTGTCGATCGAGGAAACAAGGACAGCGAGCGATCGCGTTACTTGGATACCGCTCATTCGAATGGGATCAATAAGAATGCCGGGATAGTCGCCGGTGGGAAATCATCAGTGTCAGCAAGATGTCGAAGGTCTGAGGCGATTTAAAATTATCCGTGGTTGTTTTTCGCGCTGCTCTCGCGTCCGATGGCTCGTGAGGCGCGCTCTTTGAGAAGGAATTTAAACGGACGCATCCTTGCCACACCAGGTACACGTCTTCATCCTGTGTGTATCTCAATGAAACCTCAGGCTCGGGCCTGTGACAGGATGAATAAACGATGACAATCGCGTGTACGCGCAGGGAATTCGGAACACTCGTCGAAATCGCGAAAGTAAACATGCCCGGTGGACGAACTCCGAAAATCGAGGCGTTGGTCGTGAACGCTATACGCAGGCTGCAGGATATACAGGGGTCGTCGTCGCGGGAAATTAGTAACTATATTTCCCAGGAGTACGACGTGCCGGTAAAGGACATTAGGCGGCAGGTCCAGCTTGTTTTACAACGCGGCTTATCCTACGGGATCCTCCAACAGACGAAGGGGTACGCGTTCGAGTCAACGTTGATTGCCGATGTCTCTCTCTCTCTCTCTCTCTTTTCTTCTCTTCTTTTGCCAACCGAATTCAACGAGATTAAGATTTTTTCTCTCTCTGCGTCTCTCTCTATTTTTCTTTTTTTTTTGAATAATTCCTTTCCCTCGTCGTTAAATTCTTGTGTCTCCACGCGCGTCTCTTTAATGTTCGGCGGAGAATCGCCGGGTGAGTGGGTCGCCGGACATATTTACGATGCTATTCTTGCTGATGGCGGTACAAAAAACTCGCTTATCAATGCCAATGATAAAACGGACGGGTCGAAAATAAAGCGCAGCAGATTAAGCCACGATAGCGAGCGAGATACATGACCCATTTCGAGAAAAAATATTTTGGTCAGATCAACAGTATTCTTGTCTTCGCTGAAGTAATCGTTGGGTCATATCCTGTTGATCTAACGTAATGCACCGTAATCTGATTGAGATCCCTCCGATATAATTCTACGGATTTACGTATTCCCCGTGGAAAGCGCTTTAGATTCTGACTTGAACGCTTAGAATAACATTAAGACATCTTAAGACGTCGTAAAGATGATAGCACGAAGAATGATAACACGATCGTTTCTCCGACGCTCGCAGAGGATATTACACGTGCAATCGCGACCACCTCGCGCAGATACCGGTGGAGGATGAAGCGGGCGACGGGGTGACGGAACCTTGCCCGCACGGTAGAAGAAGATGGAGGAGGTATTGGAGGAAAATAAGAGAAAGACGCAGGAAGGCTCGGGAAAGAAGCAGAGCTCGTAGGCGAAAACTCAAGAGGATGCGCACGGAGAGAGGACGCGCAGCTCGAACACGCCGAAGGAGCAAATCTCGTCGCAGGAGACGTCGGTCCCGAAGACGTCGCAGGGGAGGACAACGTGGAGGAGGCGGAAGAACAACGCGAAGAAGGGCCGCAACGAGCGTCGGACCCAATAAGACCGGAAGCGTTTCGCAAGTGGGAACGGAACAACGGCGAAACGACGCTTCCGGAAATGAGGGCGATTGAAAAAGCGTGGAACCTCCGTACCCGCGACGTACGCGAAACTCCCCTCGAAATTTTCAGTCCGCCGATAAGCCCGCTGCTGGACTGCCCGGTGTGAGGATTGATGATGTTTTTTGTAAGTTTCAAAGGCCCGGAAAAAAACCGGCTTTTTCCATTTTCCCCACGAAAAATGGGAAAAAGCCCGTTCCTTCTATTTTCCGCTGACTTTTTCGGTCTCTTTCCGCAGAAAATTTAAAGGAAACGGGGTGTTTTTTTTTTTAACTATAATGTTTTTCCTCTCCTGGAAGAAAGAAATGGAAATGATGTGTGCGAATTGCAAATCAACGAGTCGCGTATCTCACGGGACTCGCACTCGTGGCCGCTGCTCGGTCGCGGCGTCTCGTTTTGTTTACTCGGATCTTTATGTGCGCGAGACATTTCGCGGTATTCGTGAATGAAAAATTTTACGAACGTGTGTAGATTTACATTAGAATCGTCGGCAGCGCGCCCCGCGCTCCGCTGGTCGCGAGCCTCGGCGCGAATTTTGGAGATCTTGTGATTTGTACGTCTCTCGATTGTTTACACGAATTACATTAGACTTTCTCCTCGACGATTCGTCCTGTGGCTTTTCTTTCTTCTCAAATACGCACGTGTCACATTCCTGCTCACGATCCTCCGTCCTCGCGCTACGCGACGCAACGTCGTCGGTAAAAAGAGCGAACGGCAGCGAGCGCGAGATCGGTCGAAATTGCGCTATCGCGGTGAAACTCGAGCCTCCTGAGAAACGCGCGAGCGCTGTGTGCCGCGGGCTTCGTGGTGCCCGTCGACAGCCCTGAACACGGCCTTGCCGGCTAATGATAGTCGCGCTAATGACGAGTCTGCACACGCACGCCGCGTGACTATTTCGCCTAGCAACTCTAGGACTAGACGCGAGCCCCACCGCTTGTTTCGCCTTGCCAGCTGTGAATGATAAGTGCGTGCTCATCCGACGCGTGCACAGGCGTTCTCGAAAGGCGTCGAGGAGCGCGCAGAGAGGCGCGTAAAGAGGCGCGTCGATATTTTTCCCCGACGAACTCGCCCGACGAGAGCTCCCAGTCTATTCCTCGTTTTCCGCATAACCTCGCCGGGAATCGGCAGGTCGGACGGGAGGATTCCTCGGGAGAGCATTTTTTACTTCCCTGTGGCACGTCGGTAATCCCAGGAACGAATCGCAGCTCGCGCGAACGTGAAATCCTCCTCGGATTCGGTTCTTCTCTTCATGTTTCGGGACAGAGGGGAATTTCTTTCTTTTTTACGGAGTAAAGAGTTTGGCTGCACACACGAGCGTGCGGTGAATTTATTCGAACCGTTGTTCGCATCGCAAATGTTGGACGAGGACGGAATTATTGAGCGACATTATCGTATCGACTCATTATGCGTACTTCGCTGAAAAGACGCTGAACCTTCGTTGCGCCGGGCGACCGAACGACCAAGATCGGAGACGGCCCTCTATAGACGTCCACGTACGGTTCACAAGCAATTTTGTGGAATTAATTCGACGGAATAATCTCTCCAAATGCACTCTCGTCCCGCCGTATATTTACGTCTGCCCCGACACAGAAGCCATATTTCGATAACGACGACGCCGAGGAGGCTTCGCGCTCCAACGCCTACTTGTGTGATTTATACAATCGCATTAATGATATAATCGCACTTTCTATGCTAGCGTCTGACTGCCCCGTATACTATCACATTTCAATTGGAAATTTCGTTCCTGAGTAGTTCAAGCTATTTTTAAGATCGACGTCTTTCTTTTATTTTTTTCTTAGTCTTCCGAAAACGAAAGAAAATTTATCTTTTTTTTTGTTTCTTTTTAATATAACTGCAATTTGAAATATTTTTGTGATTGATTACGGATCGTTGTCAGAGCAGTGTTGGTTCTCACTTGCCCTTATTCTTCCCTATCAATTTATTTATTTATTTGTCTATTTATGTCTATTTAGGTTGACTATATCTTGAGTCTCCCTAATTTTTACTTTTTTTATTTTGTTCCATAATATATAGAGAAAAAGGTTCCTTTTAATCAAATTATATATATAGAGGGAGAAAAAAGTTTTTTTTAATAAAATTTCTTCAATTGAAACAAATCTGCCTTTTGAAATTGAGCAAAACAAACGAATGTTTGATTCAACAATCAAGATTGTTTGGTTCTCGAACAAAAAATGTCCGAGTCAAGTAACGTATTTCTTTCGTATTTTCATTCAAACATTACAATGATTGTCACAAACAATAAATGATTTGAAAGTGGTAATACTATGTTAGAAAAATGTTAAAGAACTTTTTTGTTTCAGTGGAATAACATTTAATATATAACGAGATAAATGTTTTTTTATTGCAAACGAAATATTTCCTCTAAATACATTACTTTCTTTTTAATCAAACAACTCAGTTTATTTTAAACAACAACATTTTCATTCAAACAAAATAATATTTGACGATGAATTACGTTGTTTATATTAAACAAATCCAAGTCGAACAAACACGTGTACTAAATCCAAAGGGATCTTTTTCTCCGTGTGTATAGAGGATAAATTAATTATTCAATTTAATCGACGTCATTACAGTTCACCGAGGTTTAATCAACAAACGCGTACTGAAACGAAGAGTATGGCGACTCGCGCTGCTCGTCGCGTCCGTCGACGAGCGATTTTACGTTCAAATTAATGCGGCCGACGATCCAGCGGAGGATCGTCGATGCAAAGTTCAATGCGCTGCCTGATTAGTGTTATTACCGCTGACATGAAGCGACGGTTAAATCATCGCAATGTTCGCATCGTTCTCTCATCCTTCTGCGAACGCGAGCGAAAACGGATGATCGCTTTCGAGCGCTCGCGGGAAATAAAGCGGGCGAGAGCGAGTCCGCTCGCCACCCCGGCACGATAATGATTAAGCAACTTCATTAGCGCGATGAAAGCGTTTTATCACGGGACCCGATCGCCGTCACACTCGTCGTCGCGTCGTACGCTAATTATGTATTTACACTTGTGCCGTGGTATCAATCGACGAGCGGCCGCGCTCAGGTTGAAGAGCCAAACCGGTTCGCTTCGGTCGTTTTCAGTTTTCCGTACGGAACGATAAGAATATCAAATAGGTCTCCTCTCTCTTCTCTATGTAATGCCTATATCCGTTACGGTAGCGTCGAAAATTGAACTAACCCGACCGGTCTCAGCCAGTTTGTGTCACCGGTGAGCGAATGCAACGCGTCCCCGTTGACTCGTCCACCGGAAGATCCGAAAGATCTGATCGTGAAGGTGTCTCTTCGTTTCAAGCGAGACAAGCGTCGAATCGGGAGGAAGACGGATAGAAAGAGAGAAAGGGAGAGGCGGGGGAAGGCGGAAAGAAAGAGAGAGATAAGGAGAGAGGGGGGCCGGTCGTTTCGCCGCAAAACCGAAAATACTCGTGTCGGCCGGTATGTTGAAACCTGGCATAAGTTTTGGCGGGTTGCCAGAGCGGAGCGGTACTCGCTTGGAGGCCACGCCAGGCCACGAGCGATCGGCCTCGACAGCCCAAATCTCGAGCTAAAGGTAAAGGAGACTCGTCTCGACGGGAATCGCGCGGAGTAATCGTGCGAGTAATCTTCGACGTTACGGTGATATTTGTTCGGGCCGCGTCTCCGCAAACGCCCCGGCGCTTGCTCGGCAAATCGCATGCGACAGGAACCTCGTGACTGTTCCCTCGAGTGCCACTCGCGTCTCTTAACGCGCGAATTTACTTGTTATCCGCGCGCTATAGCAGCACTGTAGGCATGTATTCATATTCTTTCACGGGATATAATCCCTTTAGTATCACAATAGAGAAAAGAAGAGAAAATATAAAGAAGAAGAAAGCAAAAAAACCAATGAATTATTAACAAATACGAGGTTTCGGTTAAACTTTTTGTTATAACAGGCCCGAATATCTGTTTAGGTCTATGACAAAAAGTTCAATCGAAACCTGATATTTAATAATAATCAATTGATTTTTTAAAATTTTTCTATCGCCACTGCGATATCCATTAATATTGATTTAACTTATAATGCCCTCAGAACGAGATTTATTAGACTCTTATCTTGATGTAATTTTTATCCTATTACTTTGATCTTGAATATTTTAGATTCAGTTATTACCGCATTTTTACTTGTATACAATACAAATCAGTGCAATTAATTATATATTCTTTGCTCCAGAGGGGGGATTTTTCTTTCTTGTTGACTTAACAAGTAATAATGATAGTGATATATCTAAGTCGACAGCCATTAAAAGGCTCGCGCTTACTCTCGCTCACCCTCATCAGTTTGTTGTTCCGCGGAACTATTCTCATCGCTCCCCGACTTTCTAGCGCATTAAATCCCGGCGCGCTAGTTTATAAAGTCAGGGAAGAATCGGGTTACGGGATGCGTCGGGTTGATCGTTTCCTATTATTTAGGGGATTCTTTAGGTTCTAAATACGCGCACAACACGCACACGCACACATGGTCGAGGCGTATTGCATCCCGCGCCTTCCGTCAACGCTTGTAAAAGTTCGCGGGTGAGTACCTCGAGCGGCATATGCTAACGAGCGAAATCGCGCCGCTAAATGCTTCTCCGAGACTCACGGATATCGCGGGCAACCTTGGAATAGTTAGAGGTAAGCGAGACGAACCGCAATCTCTCCGATTGGTCCACCGTCTGAGCACGATGGAGCGTGTAACGCGATTTCGGCGGCGATTACTCGATCATTAGGAACGTCGAAAGCGATAACGCACGGTGAGCGAAAACTGGACGGGTAAAAACGGGGAAAAATAAACAGCGGATCATTCCCCGCGAAGTTCCCATCTTCGATTACTAAAACCCGAGGATTGATTTGCGTACGCGAAGAAGAAAGATCGAATTCGGAATTAACGTGACGGTGAACGTGCCAAATTCGTTTTCGACGGGAGGAAACGGAATTTTCAGTTCTTACAAACCAAATTCGGTTCTTAGGACCGGAAATTCTGTTCTCCTTCAACCAAAACGCACTCGATTTTGTCATGTTCATTCAATTTCCTTTGTCCTCGTGGGACAAAGTGAATAAATAAATGAAATAGAGCGAAATCATGTTACAAAGTGTGCCTTAATTCT